TGTGAAGAAGTGGTTTGTCAGTGTTTTGAAGCCACAGGAGAAAACCACTTGAGTGCGATATGAAAGATGTTCCATTCCATACGATTTTTGGAGTTGCAGAGACCCCGTTTACGTCAGAATTAAAAGCAACAAAAAGCATAATTAGAGCTGCCAGGTGCTGACAGCAGTATTTCAAACAGGGTCACACATTTATTTTCAAACCCCAGGCTCTCCACAGTAGTACAGTTGTTTCTGTTGTACCTAACCTTAAATATCTGGATATAAAGCCAGTGTTTCCCCTATATACAAATAGCGGCGGCTATATATTAAAACATTATTTTTCATTAAAATAATAAGTGGCGACCCTTTTTGATTGTTTGGTATGTGTATTTGTGTTACTGTATGTTCAATAAAGGTGTATTTGGCTAAATCTTGAGACATTGCCACTGTATGTACTAGGCCTCAAGAGCCTTTTTGTGCTGGCAGACACATAGAAACATATTGGCGGGGCGCACTTCGCACGCACAAATACAATTCCACGCGGGCCGCTTCGTGCTCACATTTAGCTGGGCCCGCGTGCCTTAGCACCGCTGCTATGACTCCATCCTAGGGGAAACACTGAAAGCACTGTACATCTTTCTGTTCTCCTGCTGCCCGACAGTAAACTCAGCAGTAAAATAGAGAATAATCAACAGATAAATAAATAATAGAATTGTTAATTGCAGCCATAATAATGACCAGTTAAAGTAGATATTTAAACCCCAGATTAACTCTGTATTAAACTACAAAAGCAAATAAAACCTCATAGTTATGGTATCGTCTGGGCAATCAAACTAAACATGTACAACAACACACAGCGAGTCAGTGTGAGAACACTCCTGTAAATCCGAACTCCGGGTGAAAACAACAGTCAATCTGCTTCAAACGTGTCCCAGGACCTGCTGGCTGCGGGACAGACGGGCGTTCTGCCAGGAGTCCTCACACACTCTGAGCCTGAAGGGATGCTTCACATGACACACACACACACACACACACACACACAAAGGACCTTCAGCTTGGAAAGGTCTCAGAAACAATTAATGAATGCCAGTATTAATGGGGGTAACGGTGTGAGATTGTCACAGCAGAACAACCACCTAAGAAAAACCTAGAGCTTTCACTATTATTGGCATCAATTACAATGATCCCTAAAAAGGAATGAGAACCGAATTATAATATTGAACAAAAAAGCAGAACTATAGCATGTTATTTAATGTCATATATATATATATATATATAGTAGGGACTCCTGTCTCTACCTTTAACTCACACTTATGCCATTTTCTTTTTTAAATGCAGTAGGTAACCAAATGTACATGGTATGATAACCGCCACACTGTTACAACCCTAGTCAGTATCAGCTCCTGTGAGACCAACATGTCAATGATCAATGTATTATCTTGGCTCAGTTTGCCGGTAAAACTGCGGCCTGATTTCATAAAACCTGGTGAAAGGGTGTAACATGGGCCAAGGGAGAACCAATGTTTTGGAGCAGACCCAAATCACGTGGCAGATAGACAGCTGCTGTTCTCTTCTGTTAGCATTGAGAAATTGGTAAATGTACCGCATTCACGTGGTGTCGGAATGCTGTCGCAAAATAAATCCCAGCTTGAAAAATGTACGCCTCGGCTATCAATGTGGTGTTAAATCCCTCTTAATAAATACATTCAACACATCTTCAATGTTGTTTTCATACAACCACTTGCTCATGAACACACTGAAAATACTTTGAATCTGACGGTAACAAACAATTGCCAACTCTCGTGAGATTTGCTGATTCACAACCTGTCCTAACATTAAATCATTGCATAACCTTTTAAAATTTAGCAGGGTTACCATCTAGGCCAGGGGTGTCCAAACTACGGCTCGGGGGCCATTTTGAATTCAAAAAGTATAATGGAATATGGCCCACAAATGAAACTTGAGCTTGTCTTATATTGTACTTCTTAACTATAAATGTAAAATATATCACACAGTAGTATTCATGTGTTAATAACACCACTTCAAATAAATTCATTCAATTCAAGTTGGAAACATTTTCTAACATATCTTAGTTGATAAGAAAAAAGCCCAATGACTTATTTACAAGCTTGAAATACACCCTTCATATTCCCCCTGATTATAATCCATCTGAGGCTTCTGTTTTAAGGGATGAGCTGCCAACACTCACAAGCATCACTTACCTACACTTGATTGATTTTGCTAACTTATAACTGAACTTATGAGGCGATATACCTTTAGTGAGTGGCCCAGCCCTTCGTATATTTTTCTGTCTGTGGCCCTCGGAGAAAAAAGTTTGGACACCCCTGATCTAGGCAATAGCCTATCAGAACCCATCACATTTGAGGTCAATCCAATTTCATTTATATAGACCAATATGAGACATTACACATTAGTCAGAGAGTGCTTTACAGACTGTTAAACCGAGAAACTCCACAATAATTTATACGGAGGGGTCACTCTCCAACACAGACATGCGTACAATAGATGTCGTATCTACACGCACCATAACCAGTTCACAAGAATTTTACAATTTGATGGTGACCATATAAACACGACCTGCTTATTGTAGATCAAGGACAGTTATCTAATGTTCTTTGAATGATACTGAAATATTTCTGCAGTTCTGATATATTTGTAATGGTGTGACTCTTCGAGAGCACCACCCACGAAAAAAGAACACCTGACTCAGCCAGGTTTTCGTACATGACATCGTTCAGTCGCCGTGTTTCAGGTGAACCGGCGGCTGCAGCAGGTCAGGGCTGTTTGGGTAACCTGAATCAGAACAGGGTTGGATTCTCTTTCTCTTTTCGTGGGAATAAGGCAAGCTGGTTGGATGGAAACCCAGCAGAGAGAACAATGAGTCACAACCATGCGGTGGATTTCACAGCCAGGCTGTGCATTCCTGGCCGACAAAGGAATCCTGTACACAGCAGCACCCACACGGATACACTGAGCTCCATCTACGGTCGCCTGGCCCTCTGCTTTTATTCACAGGCCCCAAAAACACCAGAGGCAAAATGAATAAGCTTCTCAAGAACTGGAAAAACAAAAACACTGTACGGCTGTAGTGACGGTTTACACAGAGCAGTTATGTATATGCTGGATAATCTGAACACAGTGGGATCCTTCACTGATACATTACAGTTGAGCTGTAATATGGAAACAACTATGGCTAATGCGGGGCTTAGCATTATGAGACTACAACAAAAACCCTTGTAAAGAGACCATTTACCATATGAGTATGTTGTTATTGCAACTCAAAGAAGAATTAAGTGAATTCTCGGGGTCCTGACCTACATTATTATTGTCGTTAGATCACAAAGACACACCATCATGCTTCCTCAATAATAAAGCCTCATTATCCTACGTTTGATATCCAATAAAACAACAATGTAGGACAACTTTGAAGCAGCAGTGAGAGGAATTTATTTGAATTCGCCAGACGAAGTAATAAATCAAACTACTTTAAAAGGATGAATAACATTAGCATAGGCCTAGGGTGAGCTACAATCCACTCAGTGTTTTGCAATGTGTGACGTTGATGTTCATTAGGTTTATGACTAATCAACAGCTCTGCTATGGCAACAAATGATTTTCTATATTTACAATGTAGGTGTGTGTTTTCCACTGAGACTTAAAGGGAGTCGGTAACCAGGTACTGTAACTCCAAAGGACCAAAACCGTGAAAACAACCAGTTTTTATAAGGTCATGGGCCACGGACATGGTGCCTTGAAAATACATTTAAAAACACACAAATCAGCAGCTGCTTTGTAAAGTGCCAACCCTCTACGTCAATAACACTCACATCTGTATCTCCACTCTCAAGGGAGGAAGAGTGCAAGAAAAACTATTTAAATGTGTTTCAGTTACCATAACTTAGATAAGCTAGGTGTAGGTTCTTCATTTCAAAAGTGGCACACATCTTGGATTGATTAGATATATATTAAAAGTACAACATGTTTTGTAAAAACACCAAGGAACTGATGAAATGAGTGAGATGATAAAGCTTATCATAGTCTCGTTAAGGCTTGAGGTGGCTATGATAACCATCTTGTGTTTCATATTCAAACAAGATAAAACATGATCATGTACTAACTGTCACCATAAATAAATGACCTCAATTAAGTAGTTTAAATAAATAAAAAAGGTGTTAATCCTGATTGAGTGGAGTTTATTTAAAGTCAGCTGTGTAATGTAACTAATTTGTAATTTACTCAAGTACTGTATAAGTACAATGTATGGGTACTTTACTTGAGTAATTCCATTGCTATGCTACTTTGTACTTCTAGACTACAAAAATACATAGGTAAATAATGTACTTTTACTGCACTGCCTTTAGTTACTTTGCATATATAATCACTTAAATATGACTTTAGTTACACCTGGATTACATTCACAGGCTACTGAGCAGTAAATAAAGTGATTAAAACTAGTTCCACTTTTACCATCTATGATAAACACATCATCAATAACTATAATCAAGGCATGGTGTATTTGATTCGGAAATGGGGCAATCTGCATATGGACTTTTACTTGAGTAACACAATGAATACAGGACTTTTACTTGTACCAGAGTATTCATACACTTTGCTATTTCTACTTTAACAAAATATCTTCTTACCACATTGGCTAACTTTCAGATAAAATAAAGGACCTTAATCAATCTCAGTTTTCAGTATATATAAGACACATGGGAAACCTTTTAATGTTTTCAAGCTTGAAAACGTAATAATCCTGATCGAGTGGAGTGTATTTAAAGTTAAACAAAGCAGTAGAGCTTGTTTTATCCGAGTAATAAAGAACAACTGCCAATTATCTAATGTAACGTTTTAAACTGTTACCTGCTGTGTATGAAGACGTAACTTGGAGGCCAATGTTAACCGTCGGGTTCTTCTCCATGAGTAAACTACTTAAACACAGGCTAAATCTCCCAGCTACAGAACAATAGACCGACTGCTAGCTAACATTAGCTACTCACCTTAAAATAACCACCCTCGTAGTGTGTGTTCGGGGGTCCGAATATCGCCACTTCCCAGTTGTACATGTCCGACTCGTCCACCAAAGTTATTTTGAACCCTTCGACCGGTTCATCTTGGAGACTTTTCATCTCCAGCATCAGGGCTTTTTGGGAACTGGCTACATGGTGTCCATGCTGAGCCATATTCCTACAACGATCTGTGTAAATATATCAGCAACCCACCACAGCTGTGACGGGGAAGAAGGACAAAGCTAGCTACGAACAAACAATGGCTATCAGTGGAGAAAGAACGTGAGTTTCCGTTGGTTTCCGTTAGTCTGGTTCCAAAACAGGATCTGAAAACGGGTCTTTATTTGGTCAGAGCTCGTGCGGCTTCCTCCGTTGTTGTGAATAGTCCCGGGGAGCCCCAGTTATTAACGTCCATCTGAACCTGCTGTTAAAGTCAGATATCATACATGTTGCACTTCCGGTACAGATTTCAAAATAAGGCCCTTTTTTAAATCTGGTTGAACAAATATTGTTGTTAGATAGATAAGTAGCCTACTTTATTGATCCCAATTTGGGAAATGTTTGCGTTGAAGCAGGATGAAAAACAAGGCAATGTACATAAGAGAAATTAAGACAAGCAATAAACAATCTAAAATATTTCTGAAGTAGAAATAAAATAGCAATAACAAGTTGGAACACGTGGAACACATTATACAGCTCCGAAATGCACTTTGGATGTTAAATTGTAACTCGTGTGTAATGCTTGACAATACCCACAAACCACATTTGGGATGAATGAAGTATCTATCATCAGTCTATCTAAATATCTAAACCCCAGTTGTATGTATTCTCTTTTTAGTTTCAAATGAATTGCTGTTCTGTTGGAACTAAGCTCTAGTCTAGATAAAAGGCATCCCCTAGTGAAAGATGCCAAATTACTTGCACCTGAAAATGAACCTATTCTCAAAAATATATTACATTCACAAGCTTTTATTTTGAAAGCAAACACAGGAAACCCAGTTTGGTTAGCTTGTTAGTGATGCTAACGAAAGCTAGCACGGTTCTTCGATTGAGTGTTGTTTCTATCACACATACAAAAGGTGGTCCAAGCAACATTTAAAGTTAGATAAACTAATTCTACATACATCTATAAAAAAGGAAAACTCTCGGCTTTGTTAGCTGAACTTTACTAAACTCAGCTGCTCGCTGTCAGTCATTATGGGGGTCGATTACTTCTGCTTACACGCAAGGCATTCTGGGAATTGACGTTTAAAGCAATGCAGCTAGATCTCTAAGTAATCACACATTTGAGTGATAATGTGCCAAGTTACATTCTCTCTGTGATATACATATTAAAATATACAAAAACACCACACCTGAACACACGCATTATTATGTGAGCAATCTGTTCAAACAGTAGATTATTAATATATATGTGGATCACAAAAACACAAAAAGTACAAGAGAAGCTTCTTAAAGCCTTTATTTTTTTAATTTGGGTGGACTTTCTTTAAAGGGAATGTAGATAATTTATGTTGTACCCTTTAAAACATTTTACATTGTACAGCTTGATAATGGAATATGGAGAAATAAAAAGACAGGACCTTCCAAAGTCAGAGTCATACCAGAGTATATTTCAATGTCACAAACCAAACTTGGTATTATAACTCACTACAACTGAACCAACAGAAAATTAAGACAGAGTGGGTTGCCTCTCAGTACACTGCTTCACATGACCTGTTCTATTCCACTTATTATAGGGTGCCCCATGCCCTTAGTGTAATGACACCAACTATAACCCCCTTCCTTCCCCTGTGTTTAATAATTTAAAACATTCAACGATATAACTTTTTTTCTTTTTAATTGTCTGAACTTGTAGATAAAAACACAATACCATCAAAAATAGAGAATGGTTAAGTAAACTTCTTTAAAAAAAAAACTATAAAGAAAAAGGACAAACTGGAATGACAAGTTTCTCTTTGTAAGCATGTCAGAAATAAAAAGTGTACATTCCTAATCATGCAATATACACATTTTAATCAAATATGCACAGGATAATGATCAGAATCAGGACAATGGATGATTAGGGGAATTGTTTGTTTTTTTCAGGTTCTCTTATATCAGTCATTTTCAGGAACAGGGAATACATACATACTTATTTTCTATAGACAGTCTTGAAATACAGCGGATCAATTCAGCATTCAGACTCAACTACAGGACAGAAGATCTCATGGAATGGCTGACCTGAAGGTCACATACATCATTATCATAGTCGTTATCTACAATAGCAGACAGATATGAAGAGGGCCTGACAGTTTTTATCTTGCTACTACAAGGTTAAGTCGTGCTGGACCGGGTAGTGACCTCAGACATGAAGTAAAACATCACAAGTACCTCTGAGAGATTAACAAGAGGTAGCCATTTAAAAATAAAAAAATGGCCCATTCATGTTTATCATAATGTCAATGCACAAAAAAACAGCAAGGCAGTTTCTGAAGGGAAAGGAAACATTGCTACTGCGATGCTAGTCAAAGTGGCACAGGTGTAAATGTCTCACATAATTCCACATGAAGACAGACGGAGCTGCTGTTTACAGGGTGGAGGCTCCCTTTCCTTGGCAGCCATGTTGCCTAATACTGATTGAAAAGTAACCTGAAACCATTTAGCAGTTTCTGCTTACAGAGAACAACTTGCAACCTGAATGGTTTAACATTTAAGACAGGTTTTTAGTGTAACTTTCTCATCTCTTAGCCAGTCAAATCCCATAGAAAGGAGGAAGTACAGCGATGTAACATGGGCAGCTCGCTTCATGCCAGATTATTCTGTCCCTAACTTTACCACGTGGTGCAAATGAAGGCCCTCAGCACCATATCAGTTTCATAGAAATAACAGTATCCTTCTGGGTATTACAGTAAAATAACATATTCTATTTAACTGACAAATCCATCTGTGAGTTGAAGAGGCGGCTGATGAAGGTGGGACTGTCCAGAAAACTCATGTTAGACTACTCACTTCTACTCTGGGGTTAAATGTAATTATTGTTGATACCTTCACCTTTGATTTTAGAGAGGAATGACATGTTGGAAGTTCTTAGGGGGTCAAACTGCAGCTTAGCATAGTTGGTTAGGGAGCAGATCAACTGGGTAGAGAGGGGGGGCTCTTGTAGGTCAGACTGCACATCTAAGGCAGAGAGCAAAACCACTCATCTACTGTACTAATCACAAGGATTGTGTTGAACTAACACCAGCAGATCTGCTATGAGCCTTGCCAAAAGGCAAGTAGGGCAACGGCTCTGAAAGAAGTTTAAAATCCATGCCTTATATGTAGCTTTGGTTACATCTCCACACTACTGTGAGGAGGTTAGAGTCCCCATTTTCCAGTTTGAGAAACGTCCGTCACAAGGTCTACAAAGCTGAGCAGCACGAACACTGATGTGGAGAGGGCAGAGAGAAAAGGGGCGAGACAAAGGCGCAGACAGGTTTCAGACAAATAAAAAGAGACAAACCAAAAGACAAAAAAAATAACCGCAAAACAGTAAAATCACATTTCAACCATCAACAGCAAAAGTCCAGTTCTCAACGTTACATTACATGACTGTCACAGAGTGAATTGCCGACAGAGTGTAGGAACACAGGAAGGAGCAGAGGACACAGGGCATCCAGAAAAAGGAGCTCATTACAGTCAGAGGGAACCAGTAGGTAAAGATGAAAGTGCGTTGAAGACGGGCGCATGTACACAGTGAGTCTGTAAAACAACATCGAGTGTTGGGAGTGACCAAAGAGCTCAGCGCAACAACAGAGTGAAAAGAAGGAGGTAAGGGGATAGAAATCTTGCGAATCTGAGGACTAATAAATAGGGCGATACTGGAAGTGCCAGCCGCAGTGTTTCGTAACATGATTATGTTGTGTTGCAGCGGGGGGGGGGGTGGCATGGAGAGGTCGGGGGGGGGCACCCTGGGGCTGTCGGACACAATCAGCACTGAGAGAAGGTCTGCTTGATCTCATCCAGCACATTCCCGAGCAGCGTCGGCTCGTCACATTTAGCGTCAATGGACACCGTCTGCTCGGACTGGGAGGAGAGAGAGAATCAAGCTCACAATCTAAGTTTACTTTAAAAGGAAACCACAATTATAGGTTATGAAAATCAGAATTTGCAGAGGACAAAAGGTTCTTTGGTTCACTCACAGTTTTGACCAGCAGACAGACGTGGTGACCCTGGATAGATCTGCTGTACATGGAGGCACAGGAGTCGATCCTCTCCACAACTGAACCATGCAAACAGAAACGGGTCAGAAACACTCTGCATGTGATCTGAATATTCTTAGTGTTTCTTGTTATATACACGGTTTACCACAAACCATAAATAAACCAAACTAGTGGTTTACAGACAGGATTCATTCTCCATGCTTGATGCTGAATTTTGGAAAGCATGGCAGCCGATGGTAGAAATATAGTGGCTACATTGTTGTTTTTTTTACATCTGAAAAATACCCAAACTGACTAATTATAATAGAGTCACCCAATAAATGAACAGGAAATTACTATTTATTTAAGACTAATATTGTTGGTATTGTCTATGTTTGCTTATTTGGTCGATAGTGATTAGTTAAAAATAGCAATAATGAGATTAATAGTCTTCCACTAAACCACCACAAAACACTTTTTTTATTCTGTATGTGTACAATTAAAGTCTGGTACCTCTGTGTATAAAGACAACTGTTTATATCTCTGGATAAATATGAAATGTCCTGGTGTGTGTGTAGAGAGAGAGAGAGAGAGAGAGAGAGAGAGAGAGAGAGAGAGAGAGAGAGAGAGAGAGAGAGAGAGAGAGAGAGAGGAGAGAGAGAGAGAGTGTGTGTGTGTGTGTGTGTGTGTGTGTACCAGAGAAATGGTGGTGGAAGCAGATCCTGGCCAGGAGGTGGTGGAAGGGCATGCTGATTCCTTCCAGTTTGACGGAGCTGCACTTCAGGTCGCCCGACTCAAGCAACTTAGCGAATGCATCACTGGACAAACAAAACAAAATCAATTCAGTATTCAATTCATACTTGAGGAAGAGCTAAGACAACTCAGGAACCAATACCCAGATCTCTATTATAGTTGTGGCATTGTTTAATTATCTTCAGATGATAATTGTGGTTGACCACCGACTGACTTTTCCTCTAGTGTCACAGTCAATCATACATTTCAAATGTTTTGCATTGACATTTTAGGCTCTCAACAAGCACTGTCCTGAAGCAAAACGGCCAACCCTTCAAGTTTATTTTAAAGACGGCTTTAAGGAGTCTATGAAGAATGCAAAAAATGGTCAGAATTAAGTTTTTCCTCCTTTGTAATGTTGGTTGTAATTCTGTGTGACACTTAACAAACTAACCTGTAGCAGGGAGTAGTGATTAAGTAGGAGGTGCAGGTAAAGTGCAGTTTGAACTCCAGTT